TTCAAAACTCTCATTTAGCCGATTGACACAATCACTTCTCATCAGCACTCATGGTCAATTTTAGACTATTAATTCCGATGATTTTCACACGGATTTCGTAGAGAATCGATATTGCTTGTTCAAACTTCGAAAGCAGGCAACTTCTAAATTTATGTGTTTCACGGTGGCCAGTTTCCGAAGAGGAAGACGAAGTTTAACTCGAATCCTCGAGGATTCCAATTCGCCTCTTTTAAATCGCAGATTCAGTTACTTCGCGAATTGTTTAATCCATTTCACAAAGCTTTCTCGTTGTTTTTGCCGTATAATTTCTCCGCGTGCCTTCTGTTTCTTTATCTTTTCTTGCTGTTTTTCTAAGTTCTATTTTCGGGGATATTTTCTGCATCCATTTTTAAATTAATGAGTACAGTTCTTAAAGTCACGTTAAATAAGGTAATTCCAGCCAACTATCCCTCATATTGACAAAAATGGCAGTAGATAGAAAAGAGAAGGCGAGTTTTTAGACGTTAAAATTTTTTATAACGATATATAGGTACTTCGGGCAAGTTGTGAACTTTGTACGTTTATTTATTATTTCGAATGGATGTATTAACCATGAAATAAAGAGATAATATTGTCAAGGGAAGGTTTATTAATCAACATACTTCCATGTTCACCTTGGCAATGGTCATGTCAGTTTCCAAAGCCACTTTCGACATTATCTGCATTTCCTGCCACCACACAGATGGCGTTTGAAGATGCTCACCACATTGATCAATTCAAATTGAAATGAAGTAAGGTTGAAAATGAGGGCCCCTTAAAAGAGGTTCAAAGTCACCTTCTCTCTCTCCCTCGCACGCTCACATCACGTGTTTGTTGGTACTTTCCATAATTAAGCTGGAAGATCAATGACTCTATTTATATTAGCAAATACTGCGCTATATATATATATATATATATATATATATATTGATGTCCACATAAGCTGTTTCATGCCGTTTATATGTTATTTTAAATTAATTTACGATCACTTGGATAGAGATTGGGAGCGGAGGGCATTCGACATCACGAACCCTGTACCCTTATCTATTGTCCCTATTATTATTATTATTCATTTCCCTCGCATTCAATAACTCGATTTTTTATTGCGATTAATTGTGGGCTAAAGCAAACATTTTGAGTTTTTGTCAGTGCTTCCGCAAAGCATCTGAAAAACTGCAATTCCACCGACTAGTTATCCATTCTTTTCGAAATCTGCTGACCTATGTATGCAAAATACCATCCAACTGCAAGGACAAGGCAACTCCCTGTCAGCTTGAGTTTACAACATTTATTTATATAAAATGGGAGGCTTTATGATAGCTATCACTAGCACTTTAGTTAACTTCGAGCTTCACAGAGGAGGGGAACATCGAAGTCACAAAAAGTCGAGAGGGGGGAACAGAGGAGAGATCCAAGGATATAAGAGAGACAAACACAAAGGCGGAGAAAATAGGCAAGGTGAGTACTGTGAAATGGTCGTAAATGACTGCAGTGGGGTCAAGGCAGTTTAAAGGCAAAAGTCAGCTGCTCGTTTATGGACTTTTTGCCGTGTGAGAATACATTGCCTAGGATGTACCACGTGGAGGTAAGTCTATCGCGTACCCCGAGTTTTCAACATAAATAGACTAAAATTCGAAAGGTGAACAGAATTCATTCTAAAGGAAACACTATAGTGAGTTGCAAAAGCCAGTTTATCTTGTGCCAAGATGGTGAATGAGTGTTACAGAAAGCCTATACACAGATCGATGCAAAGTCCATTATGAAATTTTTTGCAAAATTCAAGACCATCCTTTAAATAGTTGCGTTCTAGGAGTTTGAAAAGCCGTTGGAGTACACTTATGCTCAATTTAAAATCCAAATAAATTCCCACACAGCACGTGTTCGGCTTGTGATTAGTGTTTGAATTGTTGGAATGCGAAACTTGGGAGTAACTTTTAAATCATCGTGATAAAGGAGAGACAGAGAGCGGAAAGTAATATTTCTATCACAATGGCATTTTTGTGAGATTATCACCACCCTTCACCAATTCCAGTATTTATATCTCCTAACTTTTCATTGAAGTTCAAGTCAAAAACCTTGTTGCCATTTCTGTTATTGCATCAAGAAAGTGGATATCAACCAGGTTATTGAGAAGCCAGTCCCATCTAGTAGTTGTAGTGGTAGCTTTGTTGTCGAGATAGATGATTGATGTGTGTCCAGAAGCTTGGCCACCGAGAGGATAGACCTGAATTTTGGATGCCTATCAAAACGGGCGGGACCTGGAGCAGAAGGGGCGGTGTGAGCGGATTTGTGTGCGTCTGCGTGTGATTGATTGAATGAGTGATTGACTCGAGTCCGAGGCCCAAATTTGGGGTGTGGGGGGGGGAGGTCCAGCAACTGGGGTATTTGCAACACATCCAGGTTTCCATCATTTTCTGTCTAAGCTACCTTCCCTTTCCAACGAATTCCAAGGTAGCCCTATCTTCTTTTGCGTTTCTCTCCTCCAGAGCTAACAAAAGCGGCGAAAGCTCACCTTCCATTTTTAAAATCAGATAGGATCTGACATTAGGCTAGCATCTTCAAAAAATATATATCCGAAATAGGAACGTAACCTGTATAATCTAATAGTCCAGTATATCTTCTTTCAATGACGGGCGAAAGTGAGCTTATGAAAATGTAGACAAATTAAACCACTCCAAATGTGAAACTTTCTCAGGTGTTTATAAAGCTGAGCCAATGTGATCTTATGGAAACTGTGGAAACAATAGTCGTTTAAATTACGCTTATATAATTGATGCTGAGATCAAAAACTTCTCTTCCCTATCCTCTTCACCGCCTTGTCTAACTCCTGATTTTTACTTGACTTTCTTAACTTTACGGGACAAATAATATCACTTCCCGGATCAGGAAGGTGTATCTCACTTCCAAATTCTTGGAAGACCCGTACATAACCGAAAGCTCCCCAATTAATTTCCATTACAACCAATCGGACCTAAGATAAGAACATGAATACCAAAGATGCAAAATATCGCAAAAAATACAAAATTTTGTGCATTTGTAAAAAATTGTCTAGATCAGAGGAAATATTAGCCAATTAAATGAACAATCTAAAACTTTTCTCCTTCCGACGTCATTCTCTTATGATGATAGGTTAATTGAGAGCAAAAAATTCTGACAAACAATAGCATGGTAAAAGAAGTATTTAAAAAAGAGGAAGGTTGAATTCATCTCCCAGTTGACTTTTATTGACTTGTATCTGCCCTAACAGCAACCCCCCCCCCTTTTCTAAATCTATTGATATTTACAATACTATGAGAGAATAATTTTTGAACCTGCGTGCAAATTACCGCGATGTTCTTTTCAGAAAAAAATCCCAGTAACTGACTTTTCATGTTCCAAACACGTATTTTTTACTAGTACGAACTATGTGAGCCTGTGAGTATACAATTTCCCTACCCTGTAGTAACCGAAGCCTACTTTTCTGAGTGCTATTAAGGTCATACACCTTACAACCACTGATAAGGTATTCTTGAATTAGACACGACTTTATAAAAAAATCTACTTCTTCTATTGCATAGATTTTATTGAAAATAAATGAAATAATCAGCACATACACCTGGGCATTTTATCGATTTCCTATTTTGTTGAAGAACAGCTAAATCCTACGTACAGCTGCGGAGGAGGGGGGGGGGGCATGGTGCGATGTGGTTGCGCAATAATTCATCCCTCTGTGTGCACCCTTTGCGAAAAAAACAGTGCAGTTTCTAATCCCTCCCATGCTGTTGCCGAGATGTCAAATTATAGCTTAAATAAAATTATCGAAATCTGACTCTAAATCTATTTATTGGGAATCACATTTGTCGACGATGGTGTGCTAATTAGATTTGGTGTTCATTATTCCTAATTGCGCACCCTCTTTTTACTTGTCTTCCAATAATATGTTAGGTATGGGATTAATAACACCATTTTATGCGTATAAGTAATGTAATTATTATTGTTGATTTCCCAAGGCCCTAGTTTTCGCTAGAAACGACTAAGTCAGCCACTAAATGCATAATTAGGTCCCAGTTTCGATGGATATCTCCGTGGGTGTCTAACCACACACATCAAAATCGCTAATTCGGTTACCCCTTCGCATTTTCAGAACCACAAATTTGTTGTCAAATATCGTCCTCCATTTAAGCAAAGTTAAGACCGATTGTTGGCCAACTCAGGCATCTTATAAATAGCTATTCCTTTCCCCTAGGAGACTAAACTTCCAAGTCTGCTCAGTGGAAGAGCAGACAACACTCCAAACACTCCTGATCCCTTCCCATCCAATAGGAAAGTACATAGCAGTTACGTGCCACATACGCAGTAAGGCTCACACATTAATAAACAACAAAATTACCATTATACAGGGCAAAGCCCAGCAAGCCCAAAACAGACAGAAAACCACGGGGTACATATTTAATTCGTTTTATGTAATATGTTGTATGCGTGTAATATATGGATGACAAATTTACCATGTTTTAGATAGTTTGTAGGTATTAAGATTTAAGAGAAGGGGATAGGAGAGGATGGGAGGGTAAGCGTATGGAGGTGTGAGGAAAGGAAGCTTTACAATAGCGGCGGAAAGAAGGGGAGAAGATGAATCTGAATGCATGAGACACGGCGCATAATGGGTGATATTAATGAAAAACGAGCAAGAAACTTTCTCTTCTTCTAAGAAGACCGGCGCAGTTCGTAGAGGTGAGGAACAGTGTTGTGGTAAAAGTATTTTTGTTCTAGGAAGAGGGGGGGGGGGGAGGACATGGAAGGAAATCACCACCACTTCACAGACACACCACATATCAGTTTGTTTTTTCTTCTAATATATATTTATATTCTTCGTCTGCTCTCTTTTCTTTTGGGATAGATAAAATAGACAAACTGGTGATGGTGGGTTAGGGAAGTAAGATGATGATGGAGCGAGAAATAAAACATGCCTCTATCGGTACCTTGGGTATGTATTCTTAGACAACTCAGTGATTGAAATGGCTGTTGGCCGAGTAGGAATGTCGGAATAGGCGTTGGCGCTTTGAGGGAAGTAAAAAGTCCCCGGAAGAGGAGCTAGTGGCGGTGTATGGAAAGGGACTTTCAATCCCATTGGCGGTTGAAGAAAGAAGGCCCCCGCCGGGTCGAGTTGCAGTGGTGGACATATCTGGAGATGCGGCTGATCGATAATTGGCGGCGACACTTGAGATCGGCCAATATGGTTGACCACTGCGTTCGTTTGATGATTGGTGATGTTGGGGCTGATAGTCCGAAGTCTCCATTGGAGCAGATTGTCGAAAATTCTTAAAATATAAAAGGAATTGTGTTGTTACACGAGGGACTGAAAACTAGTGTAGAAAGAGGAAAGGTAGGATACGTTCTGCCTACCTGTCACTTACAAATACAAGTTATTATTGATACAACTTTATATTTGGAAATGGCTTATTTGTGGACGGTAATTACCACACCAATTAGGCGAATAGCCAGGCAAATTTAAGACCCTGAAATTTGTAGGAAGAAAATAATATTATATGAGGATTAGGATTTCTCCATGACTACTTTGAAGATAGGCGGACATTTACTTGATATTCTCATATTTTCGTTGAGAATATCGTTATTCCTTCTTACGCTACAGACAGATCAGTGTGGATACCAATCCTGAGGCTGAAATAAAGTTGTTAGAAGATGGCTTGGCCATTCTTGCCGACGGGTTTGTAACATTGCAACCCTCTTAGATAGAATAAGGTGGTAACTCATTAAAGACCTAAAATGAGACCTTCCCTAACAGAGTATTACCCAAATGATTATATATATATATATATATGCACTAAAGTGTAAAGCCGGAAATACAAAAATAATTACCAACTTAAATTAAAGTGAGACCTCAATGATTAAAAAAATTGCTTAAGGTATTCAATTACTGCTTTGACGAAAATCTCAATAATAATCTCTAGGTTTTATTAATGTGTTTTAAACAGTACTTAGCACATTATTTTCTAAAACCCAAAATTCAATGGAATGGTCTTTGAAATTCCACCAAATGCTGCAATGAAAAGTACAAGGAAAGTAAAATCTCAACTTTTCCTATTAGTATCCCTTAAACAAAGTAAAATTCTTCTATTAAATAGGCCTAATAGGGAATTTTAGGTCACAGACACAAAGAGTCGGATCATTTATACACCCATTGCTAGTCCTTTCTTTCCTGGTGTGCGTGTGTATCGCACAGGTTCAAATCTGTAGCACATAGAGACAAAAACGCACGAAAAACGAATTCTTAATTAAACGAGCCGATCAATACGTGGGCTTTTGTGCAGCAACGCACGAAAAATTGCCTGAGGAGAAGCAGCAAAAACACAATCAATCTTGCATTGATGATTAAAATTAGTAGACATGCATAAAAGTTGTGTAGCACACGGTATTATTTACAACTCGAAGGTTGTTTAGTTTTACTTCTTACTTGTGAGGAAGTTGGTTTCGCTGTCGTTTTGAATGCGTGTAGGAGATTGATCATCCGTGAGATCTGGTCGACATCTGTAACACCAGGGATGACCCCACACGGGGGTGCGAGAGTATTGGGAGTTAGAGCCTGGGAGGTACCAGTTAGCGGGATGGCATCTGTCAGGAGCTAGATAGGAAGGGACCAATACAAAAACTTGTCGGAATACTCTTAGACCTTTTCTGGCCAAAGTTAGGTACACTATGCATGCACAAACACGTTTGCAGATGACCCACTTAACTTCCCACTGTCCGATATCTCGAACCCTCCTCGTACTGCAGCTTACCCACGCTAACTGAAGTGAGCGTTCACAAAAGCCTGGCCGAGAACTAGACTTCACGTCCAACATTGAGGACGGAAGCGGGTACCACTACAGCGCACATAAACGTAGAGAGCGAGGAATTTCCAAATCATCCAACCAACCCAGAACTGGTATCGATTTCTTGTTCTCTTTTGTATTCACAATTTTCCTCAGCATTCACGCAATAGAGATTTTCGTCCGCTCCCTTTAGTTTCATGGTGGTGGTAGCTGCGCGCTTATGCGCACGACTACGTGTCCACACAGCTGTGGGATGCTTGTATAGCTGAACGCGCAATTGGTAGTATACCCAACATCCCCCCCCCCACTCCTCTCCCCAGTTCACACCAAAAAAGAGCACAACCCGAGCAGCATTAGAGACGTGGGGGAGCTAACAGAGACCGTGACACACAATGTCACAAATACACACTCATTTAATATCACATTAGCAGGCAGTTAATCACGGTGGAACCTTGCGTGTTTGAATTGCGCTAGGCTAGGGACTACTTACCTTCCAGAGTTTTTTGTTGTCTCTCATGACCATGGATAGGTCAGACAGATTCTTCTCCCGAAGGACATTTAGATCAATCATTAACTTCTGTCGTTCCAGATCGAATCGACGCTTTGCTGATTCCTCTCCAGGAGAGACAGAATCGCAGAACTGTTCGATACGTTCCAGCAAACTGGTCCAATGAGAGACAATATTGGGGATTCGGGGATTAGCATCGGTAGCTAGGTTAATAAGCATTTCCGGGGTGGTTTGATTGGATAGGGGAGGCATAGATGAACCCCAGTTAGTTTGAGAATGGGCAGAAGTGGGTTGAAAATGACGAGGGAAGGAGGATGAGGTAATGGGCTCTGTTGACGGTTGGGCAGGCCGTCTATTTTCTGAAAATTCTGCAAAACATGAGAAAACATTATTATTTAGCAGCATCGTTCATTCTGCTAACTGTTGTAGCTAGACAGGAACTTGATTATTACACCACATAGACCTCTTAATCGTAGTCTCAGAGAGATCGAGAAAATACACTTAAAGATATTCCCAAATTTTCTGAAATTACTTTCATAAAAATGAAGGGAATGAATCTTGGAAAAGCGAAATAGAGGTTTTCTTAGTATGATAGAAAGTGGATTGATTTAGCCTCTTTCGGGTTAGATGGATTTTTTACGGATAGCATAGGAGTCGTAACCAAAACTAGGTGTTTGTCATCGGGGCATGCATTCAATAATAAAATCGGTACATTGAATCATAATAAACGTACTTGACTCGAGTAAATAAGGTAATGTACTTACGGAGACACCCCAATATTCAAGCCAACAACTCTCATGTCAAGTACGTAAAGATGGCATAAAGGCACTTCTGACGCTAGTTCACAGGCACTACTCGCAACATCGATTTTCGAGACTGTTTAAAGTTAAACTCATTGTCTTCTTCAGCGACGTCCCCATACAATTTCAAGGGAGCTATTTAAGCAAGTGAGTGATATCATCACTTTCCACCACCTAATTCAATAAACCAATATCATTTTACATAACGACACATTCGCACACACTATTCTGTAGGTGGGGGGGGGGGGGCCAAAAGTTCAACCCTTGACCATCCTAACACGATCGAGCAAAAAGCTCCCCAGGCGATTTGAAGCAGGTGAGGCTGAAACTCTACAAATTTCCTGTCCTTTAATTCGATTAAGAAACATGTAAACATAGCACCACGTTCTCTACTTGCACACACACACACATACACACACATACATACACCTAAATGTGCTCGAAAGACTAGAGAAATAGAGACCGAAAGCTTGGCACAAACAAAAACCTTCACAAAATCGAAAATATGCTTAGACCTAAAAAAAACAAACGAATCAAGGAAAAAGATAAAGAGCAGCTTACTGATTGTATCCTCTCTACTCGGAGCTGCACTTGTGCTGATGGACATTGCTTCTAGGAGACGTTTTCTTCGAGAAGGTGAAATGCTTGAAGAGGGAGGAGTAAGAGACCATGACCCAGTTCGGTCACGTTTTAAACCTGATCTCACAGTAGAGACGAGCTCAGGATCTGATGTGGTTCGACTCAACTGACCACGAAAACCAGATACAGGGGCTGAATCAACCGAGGGACAACGTAGAACTTCCTCTGTTGTACAATGCTTGTGCAAATCGAGAGGGTTCGGAAGATTGCCTCCAGCTGTATCATGAGCAGAGCTAGAATTTCGAGCCCGGGCTGGTGAGCTGTCGATAGAGTTAAGTCCCTGGTTGTTCCCATTATTTCCACTTCGTGGAAAGAGGTTAAAATCAATGCCCAAAGATGGAGGAATGCGCAGTGTTGGTCGACTCCGATGCCCAAAGGGTCCAGTTGTCTTTAAATTAGGATAGAGATCTGCTTCGGAAAGTCGCTTTTCAGACACAGAGACTAAATCCTCATTCGAGGGAACACTCGGGAGGCTTCTAGATAGATGTAACTGTTGGGATTGGCCGTTCGATGACTCCGGAGAAAGAGGTTTCAAACAGACATTTGGAATGAAATCACGACCATAGAGTTGAGCAGAATCTTTGGTTACTATGCAACTGGGATCAAGGAGAATTGGTGGCCCGGAAGATAGAGTACGGGGTTTTGGCCCTCTGGGACTACAATACAAAAGCATTAAAGTACTCGAAATACTACTTCAAAAGTAATGAGATATTTGGACGAACCAATTAGAAATGAGTTTGGGAGGATTGGGAATGCGGAGACGACCTTGGTGTGGTGCCCAAAGGCGGCGGATTTTGAGATTAGCACAAAGACGTACTTCGAGACGATCATCATCTGAAATCGTCAATGAAGTTTGATTCCTTGGGTCGGTAGCAGAAAGGACATCTTGACCGAGAGGAGAGAGTTTGGACGTGGAGCAGTCAAGGGGTTGAACATCAGTAGACATGGTGGGGTCTTGCTTCTTTACATCCAATTTACAGATACCCGATTTAGGGACCATCTTTTTAATCTCTTTCGGCAAATGCAGAGGCTACAAACAGACAAGTAAAAGAGGCCTCCGGAGTTAAACTAACAAAACTAATAAACAAACCCAGTATGAATTAGGCACACAAACTAAAGTACTTAAGGAATGTGGTGAGATTATTTACCTTGAGGAATTTGACCTTAAAGTCCCGAAGGGCGCGATAGGTACGGACATCAGGATTCTCCTCTTCCTCAGACTCACTGTTGTCTCGTTTGGCTTTCTTATGTCTGGTGTTGGAATCAATATCCAATTGGAGATAGGAACGCCAGTTGGTAGAATCAAAGCCCCAATGACAACAACTATCCGATTCATTAACCGAGTGAGTATGACCAACAAAATCCTGGGGTGAGAACAATTTATTACATGTCCGACAGGCAATGCAAGGTGAATTTACGGATGTGTACAAGTGAGGGTAAATACGCCCCTTCTCGCTACCAAAACAGTCATGCCGAACGTCAATATAATTCCCAAGGCTTGTCTCCTCTTTAATTGCCATAAAACCCTCCGAGGATTCTGATGATTGTTGTTGTGTATCAGCAAGAGTGGGTCTTTCACGAGATGATCGAAGAAATTTGAGCATGCGTTCAGCATCACTCTTTCTGATCAAACCACAAGATGTCACTTCAGCTGGAAGAGCGTTACAACCATGAAGCATAGTTAACTGGCGCTGAGAGCACTTAGTACAAGCAATCCGAAGTTTTGAAAGAGCCTGTCCAATTTCATCAATGTCAACATCGTATAGAACAAAACGCAGTAGATGAGGTAAACAGAGTCGAACTTCACCCCAAACATTGAAGCCCATAACCTTTTCACCTTCAACGATGGAGTAGACTAATTCCCCTGTTTCCTCAATTTCATGGGGTCTTGGTAGAGAAAACGTAGACGCCAGGGGTTGATGTGAGACACTTGAAGACGAAGGAAAAGAAGAACCGGTTGAATGATTGGGGAAAGGAGTGATTGTTCGAGAGGACTGCGGCGGCTGGGGTGGGACCATGGGTCTTTTGGGACTCAAGTTAGGAAGATTCCGACTACTAAGCAATAGTTGTCTCGCAAAAGGGGAGAGAATATGGGAATTGAGAGCAAGGAGATTGAGATAGGAGGCTTCAATTCCTGCGGGGAGATTGACAGAATCGGGTAAAAAGTTCACGGCAGAAGAGGGGTTGGGAAAAGCGGACGAACTATTAGTTGCCGCTCCCTCCATTTGTCGACGGAGAATTCGCGGTATGAGAGGATTCATTGAGTTGGTTTTGTCCGAAAATGAAGCAGCTTGAGTCATGGCAGAGTCAAATAGTGTTCCAAGCGTAATGTCTCCCACATATATACATGGGCGAGTTGTCAAAAATGTGGGTGAGGAAAATATCCAAAAAAGGTTTTAAGTGCGTGTGGAACAATTATAGACGTGTGTGAGTTCAGGGATCCAAATAGGGCGATCGAGGAGAGAAAGCGAGAGTACTAGCACGTTAGAACGGCAAAATGCCGTTATAATTGTATTAGACCAGAGTGGCGCGCAAAGCGTGCAAATGCCACCCTCAACAAAAAGCGTTTGTGTGCACAACCAGCTTACAGCCTATGTGGAGCTCGCAAGTGCGTATGTGTGACTTAGTGCGCGTGTACCTCCCCACGTCTACCAATGTGGGCGCGCTTGAGCGATTGAAGGCTTTACTGCCGTTGGTCAAGTAGTAATAGTAGCAATTCTCGAGACACTTAAGTTGTAGACACACGCGCGTTTACGAGACGTGCGCACACTGTTTACAGACGTCGTAGGATCCGAGCCATCCGTCTGGTGACCTTCCCTATACATTCGTAGTACACACATATCCTCCACAAGCCAATCAGCAGAGGCAAAAGACATCGATTGTCCTGAATTGCCAGACAGACTGATGTGCGCGCGGGGATACCTACGCACTGGAACGCACCGAGAATGTCTGTGATTGGTGCACCACTCTACCATTTGCTATTTGCACTTTTGTTGTTGGTCTCTGTGGCCGGAGGCCTTTTCTGCCTAAGCTTTTTAACCCCGCCTAGCATAGAGCGACAACTTCTCCCCGTCTACCTAAATTACTTCACTGCTGGTTGATTTTTCACGCAGACGTTAACCATCAATTGCTCCCATATTATAAATTCAACATTGTTGCAGAGAATTGTGCGTTTTAAAATTAGGCATAACTTTTTAGACTGTCGATATTTATTAAAATCCAAATCAGTTATCGTCCTATTGTTTGTCAGAGCTCGTGGATTTGTATACGTGTTTGTGCGAAGATAGAGCTAATAGGTTCAATTAATGGACATACAAGGCACCTAGTCAGTCACAGTCTCAACAAGTCTGCTGTAAACATCTGCTCTTTTTTCTCGCGCAGTAGTTTGCAGAGAGCGTAAAAGAAACCGACCTACAAATGGCCTAGCAAGGTGGGTGACCTTAATTAGTCTTTCTGAAGTACTTTTGGACGAAGTCGGACGTTCGGCCTGAATTTGCGGGGTAGACTTGATATTTACCTTTTGGTTAAAGGGGAGCGAGTATCACTTAAAAGATGTTAGGCATCCTTTTCGGCCCGTAACTACAGTTTAGTATTATTTTGCTACAGCCAAAGGGGAGTTATTTAGTTAGGGCTGATGGACGAAGTAAGGGATAAACAGAACATTTTTGGGCTGGTAAAATTCACCTACACGAAATAATTTTGTCACTGAGGCGATTTCGAATCGCATAATCTACTCCTGCAGTCCATGCAGTTTGTGCTTCATCTTGAAAAACAACCCTCTCTAAGGTCCCTCTCTAAGTTCAATTCCTCAACTCTGCCTATGCCACTGACGATATCAGCTGGAAATCTAAACTCCAAATTTTATCTCCATGGAAGCCCAATTCAGTGTCTTAAATCGAAGTTTCTCCTTCTTTGATATGGGAAATAATGCATCTTGCAAAAAAGGCTCAGAAGTGACTGCAATTAGCCGGAATGGCTATTTGAATGCCAAAAGGTGTTGGGCTAGTGACTACCTCGATACGTAATTATTGGAGGTGGACATCTAGGGACCTAGTCACCTGTCAAAGAGCAAAAGCAGAAACCACAATTTTCGAATATGGTTACATAATTGAGGAATTGCTAATTCCGCTTTGTCTACCCCAATTTGAACCAGCATAATTTGGACAAAAATTAGTTTTACAATCAAACATTCAGAGGGTTACAAAAAAGTGAATCATCAATGGAAATACTTGAAAATAAATTGAAATAATTCTCATAAGAATAAACCATCAATAACCCCTTTTGCTACGAAGACACACTCACAAATATCGCTTCTTTATGCCGAAATACTAACGTGAAACTGTGTTCCCAGACCAAAATAAATTAAATTTAAAAAGTCATTTGATTGTATTTTTTTCAAGAGCTCCTGCAGACTCAGGTGATTAGGGCATTGACAACAATCCAACGTTATTGTGTTTCATTCGATTACAATTATATTTAAATCCCACGATAATACAATACAACTAATTAAATGGATGTCTGCATAACATTAACCTGCTACTAATCGAATCCTTCGGTTCATTTCACTTTTCACAATTTCTATAAAGCGAAATCTTGCTCTTAAATCTATTACGATTTTTTATTTAACAAAATATAAAGAATGCAACAATTTGTTCAAGAGCTAAAACCGTAGGCAATAAAGTATGAGTACAAAACTACTATTCCTGCATCCTTCTTTCTAATAGCGTAATTCACCAATTGACCTCAGAAGAATACAAACCAGTGATGTATTTTTTGGGTCAGTGGTCGCCATTAACTTCGACAGAGATCTTAGTGAACCTGTTTGTACACCTTGTAGCACCGCATTCTTCCCCTATTAGTTCTCAAAATCAACACGATGCCTTGAAAATTCCCACGTCAAAATGTTGAAGAAAACCGCGATGTCAATGAGTTCCCGGAATTAGGCCTGTCTTGTTATTTTTCTCACCTCATAACGCTACAGTTTAAAATGGTCGAGTTTCTAATCCACTTCAATTTCGGTCGTAATTTCACAAAGTTTTGTTTAAACGCATCCGGAAAAAGGACTGATATGATAGAATGCACGTTCGATCGACAATATCGATTACCGAAATCATGTGAATTCTATCTGCGAAACCCCACAATGCACTGAAAACTACCTAAATCTTGTTAGTGGTCATGACCTTGTTCAAAATTTAAATAAACAGCACTAGGTTACTGTCATTCAAATTAATTATCTCTGCGATTTCTCTATTTACGAAAAGGGGGTAGAACTACTTCGTGGAGTGGAATAATAAATGAAGAAATAGAATAATGTTTTAAAAAGAGCTTTCTTCTGACATCATACAACGCTCCAATGGTAGGCTACGCACTAACCCAGACATGGGATCGGTTGTTGATTTCTCAAACTAATGGAGCTAAAGGTAATTAAATAGACAAAGTATAAAATATTCATTTCACTCAGAAATTGTGCGAAATGACGTCTGAGAGCCTGTTAATATTTTCTATTGTCTTTTGATACTTTTAAATAATAGTAGTTTTGAACAGTTAGGCATGTTTATTGTTATTTTTTTATAAAAACCTTCACAATATGGAGAATCACGAGAAGGTTCATTTAAACATCATTTTAACCCTCCCAGTGGACCAACCTTAAGCTCCCCATGGCTAACAAATTTTTGGATTAGATCCGAACTTCCCCAAATTATTATTGCTTAAATTCAAGCTCATCAAAGTCGATGGCAGTAATGAGTAGTTAACTTCGAAAACGTTGAGTTACTTCTCTAAAAAGTATGTTAATCAGAGGTCAGTAGAAAAATTGAGAAGCATTATGTTCGTTGTGAATTATAATTAGTGAAAATCGTACAAATGACATAATGAAGCAAATATTGATACTGAGGCCAGTAAAGAGATCCCAAGGTAATTCCACCACCACATGGAATTTAAAGGAAATAAAAAGTTAAATGATCATAAACAGAATAAAAGATAATATTTGGCTTGGGGGAAACCAACGCGCTAGGCTGAGTTTGCGTGGGCGAAATCAATTATCCAATCAGTGTTAAGTCTATGCCAACTATGCTCGATCGACAGACAGGCAGACAGACGGTTAGACAGACAGAAACAAAATGCAAAAATAACGCTAACAAAAGCAACAGTGATTTGACAGATCAACCTCCACCATCGCCAATTGCACTAGCGAGTAAAAAAATGCACGTATAGGCTGCAAATGACTTCATACACAAGCCTATCTTGAAATTCTCTCGGGTAGAACTATTATTAACACGACCACCGTTGTGTCTGATTGACATATATTAATTTATTTCAAATGGAAAGCGTTTTGATAGTCATCATTAGCCCTTTAGCTGACTTCGGGCTTTACTGAGAAGAGGAGGAACATCAAAATGGCAAAAAGTCGAGAGGGTGGGACAGAATAATGATTCCCAGATGTAAAAGAGATAGGCAGGCACAGGAGCAGAGAAAAGGTAAGATGAGTACTATAGAAGATGTCGAATATGACATGCATTGTAGTTTGAACTTTTTAGTCGTATACATTGCCCAGGAAGGTAAGTCTATCGTATACCCCGGTCTAACTAACATTAGCTAGCGTAACATACACAACAATATTGATTCTGTAACTGGCCTATTAGGCCTGGAGACCTCAGACATGTAGGCCTTATCTATAAGATTTAAGTGCTGGAAGGTGGCTTTGAAATACAATAGATTTTATTTTAAATTTATTTCCCTATTAAAGAGACATGTTGTGGAGGGGGGGGGGGGTTGAGGGGAGGGTATTTTATCTGGAAATAAGAACAGAATTAAGTACCTTCATGTTTATGACTTCAAATGTTACACTTGTAAATTAAAAAGGAGAGTAACCCATTTGCTTGCCAAAATAGCCAATTCTATAGAAACTGGAATTTGTCTTAAGTTAACATTTTCAAGGCCTATCAACGATAGCTTCAATTATCTTAGGTGTATATTTAAATGACTTACCCACAAACTCATTTTACAAGATGTCTCTAATAATCTTTCCTGTTTAAAATTTAAAATAAAATCCAACTTCGGGAAATTTAGTGTTCTGAACGTTCTGTTTATGACACCTCGAAAATTCACATGAGACTTTAATTATACGCTTTCTTTCCCCTCACCCTCTCCCCCTCTCCCCCCCCCCCCCCCCCCTCCCCCATTTAAGGGAAATATGAAGTCACTTTGGGAAGAAACTAAGTATACAATTTCCATACTTATTCATCAGAATAAAACTTAACCGGTTTGTAATTTTCCTCATTGGGTGGGCACCGACTGACAT